AGGCCCATGCCAGTACCCCACTTTTCATTACTTGATCTAAAATTCTAGGTGGGGGGTCTGAAGTGTTAGTCAGAAAATGTATCTGTGGGCGGGCGTCGTGTGCATCATTCTCTGTTACACCAAAGAACCACCGAACTATGCAAGAGCAGTTCACACTGGCCTTGAAGTCACTTAATAGCCCAGCTGGCCTTCCATTCAGTGATCCTCCTGCCTCAGCCTCCCAAGCAGTGCGCACGCCCACCCCCACCTTAAGAATTCATTTTTTTTTTAAAGCCATGTGAACCATACTTTTAAAACCACACATTTCTGCCAGGTATGGGGGTGCGTGATTCTGATGCCAGCACTTAGGAGGCTGAAGCAGGAGGGTCGCCTCGAGCCTGAGGCCAGCCGTGGTTACATGAGACCCTGTTTCAAACAAACAAATCATGTACTTCTGTCCTCAATAAGGTGTCACTTAGCATGTTTTTGAAATTAAAGTACAGAGGATGTTTTCTACATATGTAAGATAGCAATTCCAAAGCAATTCCTGATAAAAAGTTTCTTATGTGGCGCATGTAAACAACAAAGAGTATGTAGAAGACAACCATAATTTCATGCTGCCTTTCTATGAGGACTTGAAAAACTAACTGGGTAAACAGGAAAACTCCACAAGTCCAGCCTTGCCTCTGTGCTCACAGGAAGAGGCCTTGTGTGGCTTTCACCAAAGCCAAATGCAATCCAACAAAGCACGGACAAAGTAGCTTGAATGCACCCAGCTGCACAGGAAACATATCCCAAATTCATCCTCAGCACACAAGATATCTCAATTCCAGCCTGTCATCATTCTGTTCTACATGTTCACCCCCTTCTCAGAGAACATCTCTGTCCTCACGCCTTGGACCTCATCTTCCAACTCTTCTTTACCTTCTCTGACTGCTGCACGAGTGCCCCCATTTTTCCTCTTCATCTTCCTGTTTCCTCGTTTTCAGATAAAAATCAAAACTGCAATGCCAGCTCCCAAGCCCTGGAAAACTGCTTCCCAGCCCCTGGCTGAAAACAACCCAGCACTTGAAAAGATGTTCAACCTCGTAAGTAAACAGCAAAGTGCAAATGTAAACCACAAAGATGCAATTTCGCACTCATCAGATTGGCAAAATGCCACTACTAATAGTATCAAGTGTCTACAAGCCTATGGAAGGACTGGAACCCCCCAAACGCTGCTGGTTAGGAGGTAAACTGATACAACCACTGTGGACAGCGCACCACAACATATTACCGTAAAAGATGCCCATTTTCCTTGACCCAGCAATTCTCTTCTGTGTGTATATACAGAGAAATTTTAAACATTCACACGGGCAGACAAGTTCACAAGTGTTCACAGCACTAAAATGACACAGAGAACTGTAAGCCTAAGTGATTATCAACAATAAAAATAACTGAGTACATTATAGCATATTCACATCCTGGAATACTACACATTAATTAAAATAAACTTGAATTATGCGTATCTTATTGAATAAATCTCAGCCATAATTTAAACAAAACGGATTAGCTCAATACTATAGAGTACGCCTAAAACAAGTAAACAGCGTTACTGCATAGCTGACTTCTGTGTCCCTATATCTAGTAAAAGCATAAGAATATACAGTATTCAACAAATTCAGAGCAGCAATCATTGTGGGGACAGGGACAACGAAAGAAGAGAGGGCTCACAGGAGGTTTCAACTGTATTTGAAATATGTCATTTCTTCACTAGGTGGGAATACTTCACTCCGCTATTCCACATACTTTTCTGAATACTTAAAATTCACCTCCACCCAGAAAATGAATCCCATATCTGAACTACTTTAAAGTATTTGAGAGTTTTGTTCTGAAGGGGAGCTCAGGACTCCAAGGGCAGGAGGGAGTCTAGAGCTATGAGTAAAGTCTTGGGAATCAATGCAGTCTCCCCACCGCAATGCCACCAAGACCACAAAACTATCTACAGCAAATATTCATTCTAGAAACTGTGGTAAAATCCCGAGTAGCGGATTACAGCATTCTCAAAATCCTAACCCGTATTTCCAGAACAGAAATATTTCAGAAAGCCTTTAGTATCTGTGATGGTGACTGATACAGAAAGTGTCTTATAGTTTTTGCTGGTTCATTTATGGGTCTCAAAACACCACGCCTTTTAAACTTTTAGATCAGCATTTGGTTTCACCACAATTAAAGGTTTATCATTAAAAAGTTACATTACAATATTTAGACCAGAAAACTTAACTATGCGAAAAGACACCACTTGTGCAACTCCTCCAGTTGGTTTGCTCTGGGCGGGATTCATGGGTGGTCAAGAGACAAAAACCACCCCTTATGACATCTTTCTGAATTGAACACCATCACAATAAACCCGCAGCCCATTAAAACCAACTAGAAAAATAAGGCCTCAGGGAAAGGGAAAAACCTGAATTAGCAAAAAGTCTAAGTTACTAAGAGAATCAAAATTAAAATTTAAGGAGCCGGGGAGATAGCTCAGTGGAATAAGTGCTTGCCTGGCAAGTGCAAGGTCCTGAGTTTGATCCTTGATACCACAAAAACAAACAAACAAAAAAATTAAAATTTACTTTCAATTACAACCTCAGACATCAAAATTCCAAAGAAAGAGGTTTTGCGGTGTAGCTGAACTAGAACACAAAGTTGATATCCAGAAGAGGCACTGCCAGCTTTAATTCTAAATAAACATTGACATTCAACTTTGTTTTCCCCTAGGATTCCAAGAAAGAAAAATCTGCATACCTAATTATCTGGTCTTGACCTACAGTAGACTCCTGAGACCAGAAAAACATCATCTTTTCTTTAAACATGAACCCACCAGGCTGCATTTTTCCACATCCAATAACTATTAGACTAGATCCTCACAAATAACTAACCATTCCTAGCTGACACAATAAACTAAACTCATAGTTACCAATTACCATTGATAATAGAAAGTGCAACTAACAAAACGCAAGCTATCACTTTCCTAAAATTATGAGACTGACATGTTTTTATCTAAATAAATTGTCAACCATTCTCAAAACACTTGCCTCAGATAAGCAGTTGACTAAAATAAAAATTATTTATAAAAACACTCTAGTCCTATTTCAAATTTTTGTTAATTTTACTTCCTTTCTCTTTTTTTGGAGGCCAGAAGATGCCTTTAGGGCATTTCTGGTTTGCTGTATCTGGGTTCGAACCATAGCAGCTTGAGCTTTAGTGTTTGTTTAAGCAGGCACTTAAACAACTAGGCTATTGGGCAGGCCCCCTACTTCCTTTCATTTTAAAGTGACTTCATTTTTTAAAAAGAATTCAAAGTGACCACGTTGGGGCACGCCTGTAATCTCAGTACTTCAGAGGCTGAGGCAAGAGGACTGACCGCCCCAAGTTCAAGGCTAGCATGGCCTATATAGTTTCAAAAGCAGCCTAAACCACATACCAAGACCCTGTCTCAAAAATACTAAAAGAATTCAAATTTAGTCGTCTAACTGGTGTGAAATAGTAACCTGGGGGTGTTCCATAGATGCTAAAATGCCAACATCTGATAAGTTTAATAGGGTTTTAAACAAGATATATAGGTACTCAAATGGCTGCTAACCGTTAAGAGATGTACATTTTTATAAAGACTTAACCGAAGAAATACTATATACTATAAAGCTTTACAAGATGAGAAAACCCAAAATTCCCCAGAAATAAAATTTCCCCAAAGTCACCACTAGACAGAGTCTAGGTCTAACTCACATTGACTATGACCATGTCCTCATATAAAATAAAAGCCACAAGGGGAAAACATATCATTGTCACAGGAATGTCCTGTTGCATGAATCATCGTCCCACCCTATTGCTTCTGAGGCTGCTCACTCTCATCTATGCCAATATCACACTGTAGTTTAAGTGGTCCTCCTTTACCAATGTTAGACCTCCCATATAGGAATGGCTAAGCTCATGGGGGACAAAGACTCATCTCATTCATTGATTAAGCACTGCTATGTGCCAACACTAACAGAGCAGATCCCCAATAAAATATTGGCATCAATGTGGGCAGTACTGGCAGCAACACCCTCAATGGATGGCCATTTATAGGTATAAAACTTGGAATCTATTTGACAGATGATATTTTCTCCACTATTAACAAATAAAATGAAGGTAAGATAATTTAGGCCTATGTGCATTAGTACTCATTACATTTGATTTCTCCAGGTCTTCTTTATAAAATTTCTCAAATCAAACAGAAAACAAACAACAAAACAAAACAAAAAAAAAAAACAAAATAAAACAACACCTTCCACTTACAGGGCCATAAAAATACACAGGAAGTTAAATTCATTGGTCTGGACAAAAATCAGAGGATTATCAACAGGGTATACATTTCCACATGCTTGGTAGCAGCTACAGCATTTTCAGAATTACAACACACCAGCCAAACAAGCTTTACTGTCTGAGAACCAAACCCTGCTGGGTGCCCAAGCTAACTTGTCCTAAGCAAGCTGATCAGGAATTACTATGGGAAGGAATCCACAAGGAAGGAGCTAATGGGAACCAGGGTTAAACTTCCAAAGGACAACAAAACTTCAGTGGGGTAGGAGGATTTTAAGGGAGGCGTGACAATATTTTCCATGTCTCCAGTGTCAGATACTGGCACAAGCAGTGTGGGAAGAAGAGGTGATAGAAGAGGTGCTCTATCTCAGGAAAGATTTATAGCAAGTTCTGTTTCGGCTCTGCTGGCTTCTTTTTTCTCCGATGGAAGAAACAAGTCTGTTTTTCAGTGCTAGGTCTCAGTCTGTTCGTCTTACTCCGAAGAGTACCATTTAACACCCTTCATGGACACACACCAGTCTGCTTAAAATATGCGAAAGAACTCGGCTTTCATAAAACAACATAATCTCTGCTTGCTCTTACTACAACTGCTCAAAACAGCTGGGACCAAATGGACTCAAGAGTGGGAAGGAGCAGCAAGAGCCCTACAGAAAAGCACAACAGTGAATGAAGACCCAGAAAAGACCTACCTGGAAGCAATTCATCATCAAGAGAAAGCTCTGAAGAGGGGTCCAGGGAACATGTATGTCTGACTGCGTGAAAACACAGCAGTCTCCTCATCACAAAGCCTTGTCCTCTGAGAAATGAGTCTGGGAGGGGCAGAGGTGAACTGAACAGCCTTTTATAAGGGGCGGGGTTACGAATTCTCATCCAGCCTTTGTCAACTGCCATTCAGCTTACTTTGCATAAGTGAACCCGTGGGTTGTTTATATTAGTGGTTGCATCCAACAAGTCAAAGTAGGCGCAATCTCTATGGTGCCAAACAACCAAGATGGTAACACAGTAATGAGAAAGATGCTGGCAATAACAGCTGTCTGAGTACTTGCTAGGGACCCTGAGACCCAGTAACTCACATAATACAACTATCTGATGAGGTAACAAGGGTTACCATCCTTCTTTTTTAAATTAGGACAGCAAGGTAAGAGTAAGTTGCTCAAGGACACAAAGTTAGGACATGTTAGCTGCAGGACTTGAATCTGTAAGTCCGGTTTTAGAGCCCAAACCTCTCAGCATTTGCTTAAGAACAATTTCTGAACAGGAAATAAAACTCTCTACTTGGAATTCCTGGGTCCCTGCTTCACCCAGATCCTAAACTTGGTACCTTTTTAGGTCAACACAGGAGATGTCGAGTCTCCAGACACAGTAATGGCCTGCTCCTCTTGTGTCCTCCTGGCAGCATGTCTCCCTGGCTGAATTTCACTGAAAACAGGTTGTGACATTCCACCCAGGAGTGTGCCAAGAAGCCCTGGCTGCACTGAGGGCAAAAGGGGGATGGGGGGAAAGCTGGCTTCCTCTGGAGACATGCTAGCTCTCTCAAGTTTCCAGCCAGCTCTTGGACAGAGGGATGTCATCACACAGAAGCAGGACATGACCACCACCAAGTCTGAGGACCTGGCTGCAGGACCCTGTAGGCTTGAGGCCACCCTAGCAGGCACAAGTGTTGGTCTACTACAGCTGCTGTGGTTTCACAGTTTCCCTCAGGAGCTGGTCCAAGCAGACACTGAGAAAGGCATCACCTTCTCACTGCACCAAGCAACATTAATGTCACTTGACAGCAAGAAGCAGGAAACTTGTCTTCTTGTGGAGAAAGGACAGGGAAAGAGAGGAAGTGGAAAGGCTCCAGGAGCTCCCCACATTATCTAACTTGCCTGCACCAACACAGGCAGCTATCACTCTGGGAAGCCTGAGCATCTGCTCTGCTGGCTGAGGCAATGGCCTTGCCCAACAGTGCTAGAAGCTGAAGCCAGCACCAGTGGTTCTCAAATCCACCCCCGGGCTCCTTGGTGCTCCTTTGCCATGTGTTGCTCTCGTAACAGAATGTGGGGCAGAAGATTTTAAAAGCGAGGTGTGATGGGGGCAGGGCAGCTGATCACCTTGCCCAGGGCTTCTAAGCCATCTCAGATTCTTTCAGAAGGAGCCAGTACCACCAGCCTCCAGGGAGGTTTTCCCAAAAGTGACACTGAAAGAGCACACGTTCCAGCTTGGCCCGAGTTGGGGGAGGGGCGGTTCTAAGGAATCAAAACACACGCCCCTCATATCTGCACGAGGGGCAACGCCTTACCCCAAGCTGAGCTCCCCAAGGGTATGACTAGTCAGGGCGCCAGCAAGGTCCACCCTGGGGACCCAACGGCTGGAGGCTGTTCCTGCAGATACTAAAACGGGAAAGCAAAGGGAGACTCAAATGAATGTGTCCACCAGGTCCCGGCCCCTGACCCTGCCGGAGCCCAGTGCTGTCCCCTCGCTGTGTTATGTCCAGGCCCACCAGCTTCCTCCGCATCTACATCACCCAGGGCAGGAAACCCTCGATCTCCTCCTGCAGGCTTCCAGCTATCGCCCACCCTTGGGGCCTGCACGTATTACTGCCATAGAATCCAGCCCCTCTCTTCCCCAGGTGGGGACACTCAAGTATCCCGAACAAATTACAGTGCTTTCCTAAACCAGGTTGAAGTTCACCTCTTTAACCACATTCTGCACTTTTTTTTTTCCATAGCTCCATGACATTTTAAATTTCTCCAGACAGACCCATTTGATCGCTGCTGCAAAGTGAATTTTAAATACAACCGAAGGACTCAACTCAAAATGAGATACGAGGGCAGTCGCGGAGTCCAGCAGGACGCTGGGCGGCCCCGCGCCCGGCTCCCCGCACCCTCCCCGACACCCCGGCGGGCCCCCTCCTCCTCCCGAGCCACTTCCACCGCAACCCGCGGGCGGGGGCTCGGCAGCCCCGCGGGCGGTGGGCGGTGGGCGGAAAGCGGGCGGGCTGCGGGTCCGCTGCCCTCGGTCGGGGCCAGGGCGGGGCGGGGGTCCCCAGTCCAGCTGCCCGCGGCTCGGGTCGGCG